AGATATAAAAAAGGTCTCTAAAATGTATATGGTTTACATTTGTAGGGAATTTATACATATTTTTATGTTAATGTAATTTTTTGTTAAATTCTTTCTTATTACATTTTTTCATATAATTTTCTAAGGTGGAAAAATCCATGTAAAATGTTTAGCACTGTGATTGGCACAAAGAGATTACTCAGTGAATGAAGTGTTATTAGCCAAATTTCTGTATCTGAATTAAAATATAAAAATGATTTAACAGCATATTTTCTAAAGGTGAAACTTTTAACCCTTTTATCTATAAAAATGATTATGCATCTTTGAAGTAAAATGTAAAAGAATTCTGTTATACAAAATAACTTTTAGCAGAAACTGGAATATATTTTGAATTCTGTTTGGCAGATTTAGAAAAGACCTAAGAGTATTTCTCACTATGAGCTCCATAGAACACAGATCTTACCAGGTTTATCCTGATCGAATTTTGAAAAATGATTATATGACTATTCAACCTAGTATATCTTAGTGTTTCTCGAATTTACTGTTTCATAGACCTGTATTTTAGTCATTTGTTTTTATCAACATAAAAACTGAAACTAAAGTACTGTAAAAAAAAAAAAAAACCTTAGGAAATAGTGACAAGATATTGAGGTGTATGGTAGACGGTAATGAGAAAAGATAAAGATAAATGCAGCTAGATATTAGTGGGGAAATTTTCCAAGAAATTTAAGAACTCACAGCTTTGACTTCAAGGAATTTAAAAGAAAAGTGTTTCCAGTAAATGATTAAGAGCGCTTAACCTTGATCAAAATTTGTGAAACACACCCTCCAGAGTTTTAAAGTAAATGGGCTGAAGTAGGGCAATAGAAGCTTGTAAGAACTGAGTTCTGTGAAGATCAGAGACTGACTTACATTTATCAATTATTTATTCTTTATTGGATTTACAACTGGAATTCCAATGCATATTCTAGGAATTCATTCCATGTCTGATTCAGGATATGTAACTGCGGCCAAGAATTTTATATTTTACATTTTAACAAATTCTCCAGATGACTCTGATGCATGCGGTCCAGTGTTGGCAGATTGAGAAACACAGATAGATACACAAATATTACTAATAAAGAGAGTTCTCATAAATTCTAATACACAAGGACAAGGTCTTAGGATACTTTGAAAGATTAAGATGAAAGGTACAGCAAAGGGGGTATAGTCAGTGGTATTGTAATAGGGTTGTGTGGTGACAGGTGGTAGCTACACTTGTGATGAGCCTAGCATAACCTATGGATTTTTTGGATCACTAAGCTGTACACCTAAAAGTAACGTAACAGTGTGTGTCAACTGTACTTCAAACAAAAGATAACTAGGAATGATTATATAGAGGAAAATGTAATGAAAATTAATGAGATTCAGATATTAGGATCATCTAAAAACAAAACAAAACATGCAGGTATAAATTTAGAGGAAATGTCCAGATTAGTAGATTAATTTTATTGTAGCAGGACTAGGGTCCAGAGTTGTAATTTGAGGTTAATTATGGAATGATAACTTGGATCCGAAATGTAGGAATGTGGAGAATGAGCTTTGAAATTTCAAATTAAGTTTTCTGGACTTCACAATATGATAGTCCCGCCTTATCTGCAGTTTCGCTTTCCTCCGCTTCAGTTACCCTGTATCAACTGTGGACTGCGAGCAGATCATCCTCCTTCTGACGAATCATCAGAAGGTCAGTTGTAGCCTAACTCTACATCAGGGTGCCTACATCATTCACCTCACTTCACCTCATCAGGTAGGCATTTTATCATCTCACATCGTCACAAGAAGGGTGAGTTCAGAATATTTTGATAGAGACCATGTTCACAAAGTTTCATTACAGTATATTATTATGATTATTCATTTTATTATTGTTGTTAATGTCTTATTATGCCTAATATTTTAAAAGATTTATTTACTTTTTTAAAGATTTTATTTATTTATTTGAGAGAGGGTGAGAGAGAGAGAGCAAGCACGCGCGAGAGGAGGAAGGGGCAGAAGGAGAGGGAGAAGCAGACTCCCCACTGAATAGGAGCCCAATGTGGGGCTCAATCCCACATTGAGGGGATTCCAGGATCATGACCTGAGCCAAAGGCAGATGCTTAAGCGGCTGAGCCAACTAGGCATCCCAGATTTATTTACTTTTTTTTTTTTTTTTGGAGGGAGTGTGAGAGACAGGGGCAGAGGGGGAGGGAGAGAGAGAATCCTCAAGTAGACTCCCCACTGAGCACAGAGCCCAGAGGAGGTCAGGATTCTTCTCACAACCCAAGATCATTACCTGAGCTGAAATCAAGAGTGGGACACTTAATTGACTGTGCCACCCAGATGCCCCACTATGCCTAATTTATAAACAAAACTTTATCATAAGTATGTATGTATCGAGAAAATATAGTATAGAGAGAGTTAGGAACTATCCACGATTTCAGGCATCCAATGAAGGGCTTGTAACATATACCTTGTGATTAAGAGGGGACTACTATACACAAGCTGGTCTTGACAGAATCATTGGCCATGGTTAAATAAATAAATACTTGCAGCTCTTCCCTCTGTAAAATGTTATATAGTGTCCCATGGTATGGTAGGACAAATGAAACCCATCCTTACTCTCCCCAACCCCCCAACCAAATATCTCTGGAATCAGTGAATATGTCATGGGACAAGGCAAAAAGAACCTTGCAAATGTAATTAAGTGTAAGGAATTTTACACAGGGAGATCAGACTTGATTACCCAGGTGGGTCCAATTTAATCACACAGGCCCTTAAAACAAGAACTTTCTCTACTTGAAGTCAGAGATGTGCTTCAGAAGGGGAAGTCAGAGAGATTTTGAGTATGAGGAGGACGCAGTGCACCCCTTGCTGGCTTTCAGATGTAGGGCCCAAGTACAAGCAAGAGAGAGGCCTTCGGGAGCTGTGGGCACTGGTATCTCCCCAGAGCCTTCTGATAAGAGACCAACCAGCTGACATTTTTATTTCAGCCCTGCGAGACCCTGAACAGAAAAACTAGCGGAGACCACCAGGATTTCTCAGTTCCAGAACTGTGAGTTAATATATTTTTCTTTTAAGATGCTAAATTTGTGTTTATTTGTTAGAATAGCAATAGAAAACTAACAGAGGATACAAGGTACCATCACAAATCAATGCTTGAAGGTGTTCTCTAGCATGAATACCAATCACTCAATACTATATAGACACCTAATACCTTATATTTTAAGTCAGGACCTCCCAAACATATATTTAAATGTCATGAAGATCTACGAATCCATTTTTACAGAAGCAGGAACAACAGAAATTTAATGTTGTATATGTAGAAAAAATGGAGAGCTTTGAAAATATTTTTGAGTATTTTTCATGAAGCTTGACAGTCGAGCCAGAAAACATGACAACATCCTAACTCATCTTCCAAGTTACTACATTTTCAGTGTACTTAGTACTTACTGAAAGAATAGACTAACCTAAAATATATTTATACTTTGATGAACAGAATGCAGGTTTTCTATTAAGGAGCTTTAATGGAAAATTATTGTATTACTAACTCCTTCAATATTGCCAAAATTACACTTAAAATTAAACCTTTGTGTTTGTAGTGCTTTGAACTATGAATTAAGTTGCCAAGATAAAAATACTCAACTATTGTGAAAGCACCTTAGAAAAATAATGATTTCTACTAGCACAATGGAGGGAAAAAAAGTCTTAGAATGCAGCCTCCCCTGCTAGACAAAAGATAGTTCAGAAATGTATTGGGTAGAAAATAGTGTTAAAAACCGCAGTGATGTGTCATTATTTAGGATATAAAAAAGAGAAAATATTTTTACTCAATTGTTTGTTAAGGGATATTTTTTCTAGTGAGAAAGACAGCACTAAGATGAAATGTTTGATTTAAAACTTTCCCCACATGCAAACTATTAACCTTTATACTAAAGCAATTCTACTTTACATATGGTCTCCAGTGTGCTCTTTAAACATATCATATTTTGAATTATTATGTGCTTTAGAAAGTAACCACCCCTGCTACTGTATCTCTATCTATATTTGTGTATCTTTTAGGAGGATTTTAGATCTGGTGTGATGCATTCTGGTAATATTGTCCTGGGGAGGTGAGTTGAAATCTCATATGCTATTCCTGTAGGTAGGAAGGGGCTCTTCCCTAAAGGAGGTGCAACTTCATTGTCAAATGCCATAAAAAAAATTACCAGTCCATGACCTCCATCTGAAACCTTCAGGAATAGAGCACTTTTATCATCAGAATTTATAAATAAAAAAGGAACACATGCAGATTCTGTACATTTTTAACGCCATCAGCAGACCCTGTGGTACACCAAATTATCAAACAATATTTGCATAATGAAATATGAGTATCCACACTATGTGGGATAAATAAAGGTTATTAGTGGCCTCCAATTAGTTCAGGTCACGCTTTAATGCCAAATTAGTTTGTTCCACCTTCTAGATAAAAGCTTTAGTTTCAGGAGCTTCTTAGTTTTCTTTTCTGTGGTTTTAGGGATTATGGATCTGTGGGACTGGAAAGGCTGGTTTCGAATGAAAGATGCAAACTCTTGTCTCTTAATAGACCTTTTCTCTTGACTAACTTGTGGAGAAGACAGATTACCAGGTTATTTTTCTAGCAGAGCAAACAGGGTGGAATCTGCGATGCCTGAATCTTGAATCAGACCTTATTTCCTGTTACTTTCATATTGTTCGCTTTTGTTAATGTCTAACCCCATAATGGTTTCATGGTCTCATTTCCCAAGAAGATTTAAGGGAAAGATTTTCCTCTGTTCAGGTACACTGCAATGAAACATGAAAGCCTACTCATTCTAGCATTTTATTATATATTAATGATTATTAAGAAGGTGACTCTCAGGACAGGATTTGAGATAACAGGATAAACTGTATCTTCCTTCCTGGTGATTCTTCTTCCATTTCCATCCTAGAGAATTTTGGTTTGACTCTATTAGACTGGGCGGTGGTCCTTTTATATTGCCATCACTTACCTTCATAATATACTTTAAACCCATGAGCGCTAACTGCAAAATCACTGGTCAGACGTAGTGAGAACACAGATTTGGTACTCGTCACTGGCGGTGGCAGATGGAATCCTGTTAACCTAAAAACATAAATGGAATTAATTGTTAGTATTATAGACATTTTACCTAATAGAGTTGAAAGAGCATTCAAAGTCATTTTATCATATCCCTAAGCTTTGTATAAGTAGGTGTGTATGTGTGTGTGTGGGTGGGTGTGTGTGTGTGTGAGGATTTATAAACAAATTTATCACATATTGATTGAAAGTCACTCATCAAAAACAATTACTGTAGATATATATAAAGTTATTTACATACATGTGAATGTGCATTACTATCATATCTATTACATATATCATCTCTACGAAAATACTGATTAATTTAGACTTTGGGAGATGAGTTGTGAGAGTATGTGTTTTTAGTATCTTTTGCTCCTTATTTTCACAACTGAATATTCAGAAGATATTTTTGTCAAATAAATAATTTTCCCGATAGTTTAGAATATATTTACACAGTGGGGAGTTTTTATTAAAATTTAATATTAAAGGAAGAGATGTGATCTAAATAAATCTCGAAACTGAAAAGTCTACAAATGATGTGATTTTTGTTTTATTAGATTCTAAGCTTTCAATAAATTCTATTAAATTTAATAGTTGCAGATTACTTTTTGGTTATATTTCATTTTTAAAAAGATTTTATTTATTTATTTGAGAGAGAGAAACTGAGTGTATGTGTGTGTGTGAGAGAGAGAGAGAAAGAGAGAGAGACAGAGCACAAGGGGGGAGGGGCATAAGAGAAGCAGACTCCCCGCTGAGCAGGGAGCCAGATGTGGGCTCCAGTCCCAGGACCCCAGATCATGACCTGAGCCAAAGGCAGATGCCTAACTGACTGAGCCACCCAGGCACCCCTATACTGCATATTTTTATAAAACAGATATTTGTCTGACATTTTTTACCATAATTTATTATGTATTTTGCAAATAACTTATTGCATATAGTTATCATTGATTATACAATTGATTTATAATTGAGACTTTGTCTAAACTAGAAAAAAGAAATTAAAAATTAAAAAAAAACACCTACACAGGATATAATTTTACTAAAACTAATGAAATACATAATTTTTAATTTTTCTATGAATTACCATTTATGTTATTTATTTTCTCATTTTTATTATTAATATAATAAGAGTTAGTAATTTTATGCAATGGAATTATACTATTTTTTTATACTATTTTTTATATACTTGCTATTTTTGCCCAACATTGCACATGTAGGATTAATCTACATTGAAATTACCATATATTTCATTGCTAGATAGCAATAATTCTCATTTGTCTCAGGTGTGTTTATACTCTAAAAATTATTAAGAACCCCCAAAAGATTTTGTGGGCTAGATTTATCAATATATACCCTATTTAAATTAAAACTGAGAATAATTTTTTACATGTGCATTTATTAATTTAAAAATAACCAGGATAGGCACATTGCATGTTGACATAAATCATATTTTAATTCAAAATAATTATCTTTTCCAAAACAAAAATGACAAGAATGTATTGTATTCTGTTTTTGAAAATCTATTTAGGGGCACCTGGGTGGCTCAGTCGTTGAGCGTCTGCCTTCGGCTCAGGTCATGATCCCAGGGTCCTGGGATTGAGCCCCACATCAGGCTCCCTGCTCACTTGAGAGCCTGCTTCTCCCTCTCCCTCTGCAGCTCCCCCTGCTTGTGCTCTCTCACACTTTTTCTCTCTCTATCAAATAGGTAAATAAAAATCTTTAAAAAAAAGAAATGAAATCTATTTAATATCTAGCCTATTAACAGAAATCAGTTGGATTCTCATATCTAGTTCTTTTTTTTAAAAAAAAGATTTTATTTATTTATTTGACAGAGAGAGAGACAGCGAGAGAGGGAACACAAGCAGGGGGAGTGGGAGAGGGAGAAGCAGGCTTCCCGCTGAGCAGGGAGCCTGATGCGGGGCTCGATCCCAGGACCCTGGGATCATGATCTGAGCTGAAGGCAGACGCTAATGACTGAGCTACCCAGGTGCCCCTCATATCTACTTCTTTATTCAATATTTTACAATATGTTATCTTGGTTGATGGGTATGAAGAACTCTGGCCTCACATATGTAGTTGGAAAAGGGAAGAGAATTCTAATGGCTTTTGCAGATAAGTGGATACTCTTCTTTGATAGTACACAAAAACTTTACAAGTTAGTTGCAATGTTGAATTCAAACCATATCAATTAATTTTTATACACTGTGGCATTAAAATTCATTGCTTCACCTTGTTTCTATGATGGGTCCTTTTTACCCATGCAATTTTTAACATGTATTAGTATTTTGGAATACATTCGTTCTTTTTTTTTTATTCATTCAGTGAGTTAGATCTTCTAAATGTTGATACATTTTATTATAAAGTATCAAAAAAATCACATTTATTTTTATTGCTACCTCATCTCATTAGAAAAATCTTTAAACTTGGGGAAGCTCTAAAACTTACAGTAATGGATCGAAGTTTTCCAGAATTCTAATTTTTTACTTGGAAACTTAGATTTTGTCATAGACAACAAATCCTGTCAATTGTTTTCCCTTGAAATAACAATTCAGGTTCTGTGTGTGTGTGTGTGTGTGTGTGTGTTGGAAAAAATATATAACAAATACCCAAGTTTGACTAACTGTAGTTTATGTTAGTCACTCGAGTAAAAAGAATGTTCCATGAAAATGTGGCCAGTTCAGTTGACAACTCAATTATGCAACTGTTTTTCCTTGGAACAACCATCATATTTTGGTAGGCCTAAGAAGGTTCTATGTTTTTTTGTTTCTTGTTTTTTTATTTTTTGCATACTTTCCATTTTGTTACACAGGTCATTTAAAAGAGGGGAATTACAGGGTAGACATTTAATGAAATAACTACAGCATCAACAGGAATATTCTTAAGTACAATGGATTTTTTTCCACACTGAAAGTGTGTGGCAGTAAAGAATACAATGACTAATGACTATTTGTACAGTTTGAGGTCACTAATTGCGAGGTTTTCAGGCACCAGCAGTTTTACCCACCATTACTTTTGTACCATGAGGACAAATGTCAACACAATGAAAATGGTGTGAATAATGTCTCAGTGTTATTATGGAAACAGTTTTGATCTTGTGGACCCCCTAAAAATGTCTCAGGACCTTCAAGGATCCACGGATCACATTTTGAGAACCACTGCTATATAGGAATCTATTGCAAAAAATATACCACACCAAATTTATACATTCTATTGTTGATGGACATTTGGGTTGTTTATAATTTGTGTTTTCATCAACATTCTTGCAAAAGTTCACTTGTACACACTTACCTGGCAGTTCCCCTAGGGTTTATAAACATTTAAAGCTTTAAATTTTCCTCTTTTTGCTGCATGAGCTACATGATTTCCTGTTTGGCTCATGGCTAGAAGTATATCTCTATGAGTTGCTTTAGTTATGTCTTCTTACCAATGTATATCTCATTTGCATTTCAATTAGATAACATTTTCTGTATAAATTTAATCCTTTGAAATTCTTGAGATTTGCTTTATGGGTCCGATATTGTATTTTTTATTACATGCCTAGTTTTCTTATAAAGGAATATTTATATATAATTTATAATATATATAATATATTATTTTTCTATTCCTAATCCAAATTACCACAACCTTAACACCCATTATTAATTATCTCATAGTTACATAGGTCTTGGTAGAGTGTAGTTCAACTGGTTCTCTGCTTTGAGCCTCATGAAGCTGAAATCAAGGTGTTAGCTGGGCTGCATTGCTTCTAGAACCTTGGGAGCAGAATTTGCTTTCACTTCCCATATAAGACTGTTGCCAGAATTAAATTCTATGCAGTTGTAGGACTAAGGTTCTGTTTCCTTGCCGGCTGTTGATTTGGGGTCATTCTCAGCTTTTAGAGATTGCTTGCATTTCTCAGTTTGAGACCTCCTTCCTCCATCTTCAGAGTCAGCAAGGGGAGTCCAAGTTCTCATTCTGTAATTCTCTTTGGTCTTTCCCTCTACCTCATCCTTCTGCTGCTGCCTCTTCTGCCTCCAGATGGAGAGAGTTCTCAACTTTTCTATGCTCATGTAATTAAACTGTGTTCAAATTGATAATTCAGATATCTTCTATTATAACATCTGTCTAAAATCCATTTGCCAAGTTATTTTTGCCATGTGATATATTCACAAGTTCTTAGAGAACCATTATTCTGGGATCATTCTGGCTCCTATAATGGGTATTTATCATTGGCTAGGAACAGTGTTCAATATATCTTTTAGATAAATTTGTTAATCATGTTCAAGTGTTCTCTGTGCTGACTATATTTTTAAAATCTGATCTACTAGTTACTGAAAGAGATATGCTAAAATCTCACAAGAGGATTATAGATTTTTATATTTTTCCTTGTAGTTCTGTCATTTTAAAATATACTTGGGGGCTACATTAATAGGTGTGTACAAGTTTAAATTATTATATTTCCTGGCAAATTGAGCATTTTATTTTTTATGAAGTGCTACCCTATTTTGTTTCTTTTGGGGAGGGGTGCAGAGGGAGAGGGAGAGAGAGAATTACTTAAGCATGTTCCATGCCCAGCACAGAGCCTGATGTAGGGCTTGATCTCACAACCCTGAGATCATGACCTGAGCTGAAATCAGGAGTCAGATGCTTACATGACTGAGCCACCCACATGCCCCTAATCTATGTCTAATAATGATTTGATCTTAAACTTTATCTTACCTGGCAGTAATAAATCTAAAACTTAATTTACTAGAATTAGTCTAGAACATCTTTTAACTTTCAACCTTTTGGTATCCTTATTTTTAAAAAATGTGTCACTTATGACCAGAATATACTAGGCTATATTTTTATATACATAAAACATTATGCTTTTATAAATTAATTATATAATATTGGTCTTTTTGTTTATAAATATGTTCAATAAACTATAACTTACAGAGGAGTACAACAAATCAAAATTGCACATACTGTTGAATTTTCACAAATTAAATATTTCAGATCAAGAAATAAAACACTGCAAGAAATACTGAATGTCCGCTTATGTT